GCCAGAAGCTCTCTCCTGAGGAGAACGGAGTCCTGTCTTGTGCCCCGCTGCACTCTGCCGCCAGCCAAGGTATCTCTGGGGTAAAACACCGCAGTGCTGCCTCTGGCCCAGCAGCGAAGGTCAGAACTGGCCTAGGCACCATCTAACTGGTTATATTGGGATCCATATTCCAATAGGCCTTCACAGCATTAAGTTGCTGTGCTGTAACATAGCAATGCTTAGTGTCAGCAAGAATAGGCCTCAAGCAGATAATAAGAAACAATATTATAGTAGAGCTGTGAAACGCAAGTAGTAAACGACACTGTTATGAGCGTTTCTTTTTGAGTCAACAGAGAGGGGGAATTGTGGGAATCCATAAAAATCAGAAGGTTTTAGGAACGTGGTAAAAAGACAGGCCTCATACAGCAGATTTGTAAACAGTGCTAAGGGAGCAGAAAAGGTTTCTAAGCTGTAGTGAAGACATAGGAAAGAAAACAATAGGGCTGTGTAAGTTGGGCTTTCTAAGTTGCAACAAGTTTATTTAGTATAAATTTAGAAGGTTAAATATGAATAGAGCTCTGTGCTTTGTCTCTTACAAATGAACCACTGTGTTTGAGAAAAGGCTACCATTGTTTTAACCAATGCTACGTGTGCTACAGGTGATTGGATAGAATTACTGTCAGTATGCTTTTGCTCTATGTGATTGGCTAAGATGCATTTATGGTATGTTGTAACATTAAGTTTCTTTGGTCTGCTGTCTGACCCACAAGCTGTTAGCATCGCTTCATTGCCATAGCCATGTAATGAGACTGATGCTGGAAATAAACAGCTCACGACGCTGACCAAAGTGACCCCGTCCCGTTTGTGTCTGTATATAAACTGCTGGCATCAATATAACTGGGAGGAATCAAACCTCAGTGACTCTGTGGATCTACAGACTGACCTGTGATTTTGCCCTAAAGTTAAAGGAGATGTAATTGCCCATTTATATGGGATGATTAACAGCATTTGGTCTGTAAACAACAGGAATTGCAGTGCCTCATTTTATAGAGAGGCCTTGTAACAGTTTCTGGATTCTGTAATAGCTGCTGTGAAAGTTTCTTTCTCCTCATCCTCACTCACATGCCAGCACAGACACCCAGTCCCTTTCTTTCCTCTTTTAGGGGAATAGCAGTCCAGGCTTGTTCCTGTTACGTGCAGAGCCTTAATGTTCCTTTTATGTGGGGAGTAGTGTGGGGACTCACTCAGGAATAGTGTTAATTCACGTGTTTCTGCTCCCAAATCTACTTTCAGATCTCACTGGTGGGGGTCATAAAAAGTAAGCTGCATCTTTTCTCAGTCCTTTATTTCTTCTGTACCTTATACTGGTAAATTGTCCCTTTTTTATACCTGTGTGAGTACTTTGTTGAATGGTGGATGCCCTAATTTAAACTGGGGTCAGTAATGCTTCAAAATGCTTCTGAATTTACCCAGATGGGCATGGAACACCTGAAAGAAAGAATCTGCTAACATGCTTTGTATCTTTTGATGTTGCAGAGCAGAAGAATCCATATCAGATGATGACAAAAGGAGGTAGGTGCTCTGCTCAACCAGGGTTAGCTTTATTTGCAATAGGCTGCAGCGAGTTCTGCTGCTGGTTCTGCATCCTTCCTTCCCTCCCCCTAAGTCCCAGCAACACCAACAAAGCAGAGGAGAAACAAAAAGAGAGGGGGAAATCTCACACAGAGTCAGGTATTGATGAGTCCACCCAGTCTGTTATTGAGCTAGGGAGGTGGGAGCTTGGTAGTAAAAAGAGCACATTATCTTGCAGCTGTAGGTGGTGTGCTCAATAAGGGCTGGGGGCCTCTGCCTTCACACCATCACTGCCACAGAAGGTGACATTAGTGCTTGTGGGAGATCTCTGCTGGGCTGGAACTTGAAGGAAGTATGAGTCTATCATCAAGCAAATTAGAAATTGGCTCAGACTCCCAGGAGCTGGAGAAGGTGTGATTAATTCAGCACCTAACAGGGCAGAGCAGTGTAAAGGCAGGCTCTGCAGGTTATTCCAGGCACAGTAGAGGCTTTAAGACCCATTTTTTTACCCCCCTTTATCTGTCCCTGCATTTCATACAGGCTCTTTGGAGCCAGAAGGTATCCTCTGCAACTCCGTGAAGAGAGGGAGAGGGTTGGGCCATGAAAGTACCTAAGACACTTGTGGTCCTTTATACTAACAGTTTTCTCTAAGTGTAACCCTAAGCAGGGGCAGGCAGGTTGCATTTATTAATGAGGTAAAAGTGCTATTTAATTGGTGTGCATTGTTTAAAGTGTGGTGCTTTGGTGGTCCCAGTGTCAAACATCAGTGTCAGATTAGCTCTGTCCTCAGCTGGATATACTCAGAAGAAGCTGGGCAGGTGGGGTTTATTATTGTCACAAGACAGCTGGGATCTTGTGATAAACCTCAGGAATTTGAGTGAAAAAGTACCTCCTTTCACAAGGAGAAGTGTCCCAGCTGAGCTCTGATGTGCCTGTAATTATTTTTCCACCAGGAACTATGGAGGGGTGTACGTGGGCCTGCCATCAGATGCGGCTGCCATGGCTCCCAGTCAGACGAAAGCTGCACCCAAAGGTACTGGCAGGTTGTAGATTTATTTTCTCTTGCTTTCTGGGGATCATTTTATCTAGTAGGATGTATGTCCTTTAAAAGTCAATTATTATTTCAGACAGACTGGCTAGCCTTGAAGCCTCTTAATGCTGTGGGGCTGTTTATACTTGTCAAAGGGTTTGTTTCCTTTTATTTAAAATTTAACACACTTTTGCAGAAGGATCCTAGAGCAGATGCGGACAGTGTAGGTACATGGTCTTCTGAACATCTTCTCCACTCTCTGACTGCTCTGTGAATTGAAAGAAAACAAAACCCTGTTAGGACTAAGAGGCTGTGATAGATGCACTTGCAGAGCCCCCGCGCTATTTTTAGTTTTGAAGGTATTTACTTGCATTGTGGTGAATTCCAGTAATAACAGGAATTTCAGGTTTATTTCTGTTCTTAAATGAAACCTAGCAGAAACTGTTTCTTTTCCATGTTATATTTTTGAGCAGTGGGAAAAAGCATTAGATTTATAGCTATTTAATTGACAAGTCATAAACATGTAATTATGAAATAACGCAATATTCTTTTGATTTAACACAAAAGAATGCTACTGTCACATATGTACAGCACAGAGTTTAGTCACTGACTGGTGCTTTCAAAATTTGCTGCAAAACAAGAAAATGAAAAACAGTAACACTTTTAACCAAAATAAAAGTAGCTGGTTTTGGAACAGTAATAACTAAACAAAACACGTGTTTTGTTTTTTTAAAGATTTTAACCATCTTTGTCTTTCATTTTCTAATTAAGATTAGAAGGAAATAAAGACATCAAGATGCAAGCAACCCGAGGTACAGTACGTTTTGATTTTTTTACATTAACATTATGTGCTTGGCATGCATTTGTTGAACAGAACAAGGCAGCAATGCTCCCTGTGATGCTCTAAGTTGGTCTGGGAATCACCAAATTACATCTCCAGCTGCATAGTAACTTCTAAAGGCTGGACCAGGGACCAGTTCTCAGTGGGTGCAGATATAAATTAGACAGTAGTAAAGTCATCTTCTTGGTGAAAATTGAGAAGCAAGGAAACTTCATTTGGGAGCAAATAAAAATCAAATGTCCTTAGTGGTACTCAGATCTCCCATAAGAGGTGAAGTACATCAGATCAGCATTTGCAGAGACAAAGATTTTTCCAGGAATGAGGATTTTGCAGTTAGAAAACATCTCCTTTTTTGGAAGGACCTTGAAGACCATAGTGTGTCACCCATTATGTAATGTATTGGAGCTTTCCCCTTGCTATGGGAGTATCTGTGAGGGCTTCATTTTCCACCAGCTATAATAGAACATTGAAGATTTATAGGCTCTATTCCTAAATGAAGAGTTTTGACTAAGTGTAAAAAAATGCTTTATTAGTTCACATCTGCAGAAAAAATAAAAACAAATCAAGTTTCCATTCAGTACTTGAACTAAATAAACATTGACAAATTTTGATATGGAATTGTTTTGATGTCTAGCCAATGGGGAGCTGAAAACTATTAAGCTGCCGTCAATTTCCATAAGAAGTAGAACTCTTTCCTAGAGAAACAGTTTTGACTGTGTGGATGCAGGCCTTGTAGAGCAGAACACATATAATAAGTGCCTTTATTATATGAGTGATTAAAGCCCCAGAACTTTGGTAGGAGCAGCCCTAAACAGGGAGAACTTTAGGTGGTCTTCACAGCTAATTTCAGTAACCTGGCTGAGATGTCTAAGCTAGAAACACCATCACCCTTGACCAGGTCAAAGCTCAAGCACCATCTTGAGATTGCAGCTTTCCGTCTGTGGTTTATGAACAGAGTCTGAGTTGCTTAGGTGCTTGTCTAGGTGCTTTAGTTGAATGCTTGAGGCTGGATATAATCAATCACTTGACATTTTTTTTTGCTATTTAAACTAGCTGAAAATGTGCTTTGCCTTCATTCATGCAAGATCAGAGCTTGGCTGCTGATTCAAGCTGCACAGAAGAGCAGCTTCAAAACTGCAAAGGTTCCTCTGAGCTCTGCAAGTTTATGTGCGTGTGTGTCTGAAGTTCATGGACTACAAATCTCTCAGCTTCTAGTGACAACCTAGTTCTCTGGTTTATGTATAGAACATTCCTGTGTTGCTTTTCCACTACTGTTTTACCACTCTACCTAAATCTGTTCCTTTTTTTTTTTTTGAACAGTCTATTAAGAACAGTTGCCAGTGCTTTGGAGAGAGCTGTCTTTTGCTGAAGATTTTGATATTTACACAGCCTTCCAGAGAGCAGGAGAGATCAGAGCACCAAAAAATCCAAACTGTTCCAAGTTCCAACAACGGGTAAAGCTTAAAGTACAGCGTTGAATTCCTTTCCAGTGATAGTTGCATTACGGAAACCTCCCGCTGTTCTCCAGTGAAAGATGAAATTAGTGAACTCATCGTGGATGTTTCTGTTCAAGAGCTAACTTTGATGATCTGCAACTTATTTCTCTGTGGCCATGTTGCAGATTCCATCAGCTATCAGCTATGCTTCATATATTTCCTCAAAAAAGTTTGATAGATTTTATATAGAAAACCATCACTACTGTCCACTCAATAGTTTCTATGGTAGGTTCCTGTAAATTAATTGTTATTTTACTTCAGAGTAATATATTTGACAAGTTTGCATCTTTTTGGGAATATTGCAAATTTTAATATTTTTGCTGTGAAATATTAAGAATAGGATGAAATAAGCTTAAGACCTTAAGGTTCTTTATAATTATTACTGTCCCTTTTATACCATGTGACAAATATTAGTGTTTGATTTTCACCTTGTAAAAAGATGTTGCTCAAAGAAATTGATTCAAATAAGAATGATATATTTCATAGTATTATTTACATGTCTGTTTATATTTTACTTTAGCTATATCTCTTTTATAAAGCATTACATATAAAAATACTAACAAAATAAACTATTATGTGTCCCATTCCATGTAATAATAATATGTCCTTGCATAAGGATGAAGTGATAGTATTTTCGGAGCTAGTGGGACTAAACTCCAGTGCTGCATCCTCCTGACCTGTAGAGTATTTTTGATCACTATTAGAGTTTTATATCCCTGTCTCATCTGAAAGCATCTCCAGTATGGCAAATTGAAACAGAATGAGCATTACTACTTCTTTAGCAAGTTGTTCAGGTTTTAAAATTCATTAAGTTAATAGCAATTGTAAGTTTTGCATAGAACATAAAACAGATTGTGCATTTACAGATGGCTGAATAAGTATTTAAACTACTAAAGCCTTTTGCAGCATTCTTTAGTCAAACTCTTTTTAATGAGACTTGATACACCATACACTTTAAATAGTCAAATAAAAAAAACCCCACCTAATCTGCACCATATTAATATATTACTGTACATTCATGACCATTTTTAAAATTAAAAGGAAACAACAAACCATAAAATTTGGGCATGAAGAAATAAGCTGCCGTGAACTATGAAATTCCTGCCATTTTCACTGATACCCATTACTACCAATGAACTACCATTGACTATGATTTCCAGTAACTTGTAGCTTTCACTTTTATATAGTGGTAGTTTGATGTGAGGCTTGCAAAATGAGATATTTAAAAGTATTCCTTGCTTGTTGTCTTTTAATTATTTCTGACATTATTTATTGCTATTCTCTAGCAATCTCTTACTTGGGTTATCAATGATTTCAGGCTTCCAGCTCCTGTATCTCATTCTTGACTGTCAACCTCAAACTGAGATGAAATAAGCTTGAGATTAAATAAGCTTGAAGATGTGGTGTTAAATATCTCTCAGTATGAATGAAAGTCTGTAGATTGTATCTGCCATGTCTTGGTCTTGCAAGCCAGACTGGTGAGGACTTAAGTAGCCCTGGGTGATAAACATGCAGGCTTTTCTCCTACCTACTTACCATAGCATGAGGGTATAGTTTCCACTTCACATATTCCACAAATGGCCAAAATGGTTTGCACAAGTTTATTTAGTACAGAGCAATGCCTGACCTGATCACAATTTTTTTTCCCCAAAGCAGAAAAAGCATCGATCATCCTAGAATACATCAGCATTCAGCTTGAGCTCAAAAAGCCAACAGCTGGTTCCAGTAATCAACCCAGTTGTTTACCCAGTTCTGTCCTTCAGTTGCTGAGAAGAATTATCAAAAAGGTGGACAGGGCTAAACTCGAACATCACTTGTTCTGCTAGTGACAGCTGAAGCCCCATGTGTGGGCAGAGGGAGGAAAGAGGTGATTGCTGATGAACAGCTCCTCACAGCTGGTGGTGGGACAGTTGCAAGGGGTACTTTCCTTGGTTCACATCATTGCTTGTTTTTCCTGTGCAGAGCTACAGAGAAGCTTGGAGCACTTTGCAGAATTGGTCTTTTAATGTTTCATCCTCTGAATGTGTGGGAGGTACAGTAGTTTCTTAATCTTTTTTCCCTCTGCGTCGTTTAATCTCAGAAGTTTACTGAGCAACTGACAAATGTGCAGCATCACAGACTGGAACCTCTAAAATAGACATACATTCATTTATGCTATGCAGGCCTGTGCCATCAAACTGAAGAGCTATGGCCATGCTCTTGTCTCAATTTGCTGATTATTGTCTTTTGTTTTCCCAAAGATCCATGAATCTAGAAACTGTTTTACAGGATGCTGTATTCTGTCCTGGCCAAATTCCACTTGGGGAACTGGTTTTCTGCTCATGAAAAGTCCTCTATGGTGAGCCGCCTTTGTTAAGAAAAGCACAAGTCATTTCATGGAGAAATGGGTGTATCTGCTCTTTCAAAACTTACAATCTATGGATATTTCTGTTAGGAGGAGGAACAAAAAATAAATCCTATATGCCAGCTGCCAGCTGTGCATGTGACGGCATCCTTGGAGAATATTTATGCACTCAAAAGATGATTCAATGGGAAAACTGAGAACAACACAAGGAGTCATTGAATGACAGAGTTATTATTAAGGAATATACTTTGGTTTTGTCAAAACATCTTGAATTACCATTTGGGAAAAATAAACATTTAAATGTTGGGGCTGTAATACCATTTTCCTTGCAGTGATTACTGTTTCTCCAGCCAGAGCTGAGGAGCCAGTGGAAATAATTCAGCAAAGAATTCTTTTGGGCTTCATAATCTCACAGTCTCTGATCTGAAATTCTTTGGTAACCCAGAAATATTATGCTTGAATTCATGAATCTTGAAAAATTCTGGAGTAGGAAAACGTAAGATTGAAACAACACAAAATATTTTATATTGCAAATTTTAGTCTCATACAAACTGTATCACCTCAAAGCTTCTCTTTTAAATTATGCTAATGAGACAGTGCATTTATTTTGCTTTCTACTTAATGCAGGAGCTTTGTTGTAAGTGCCCAACTTGTCTGTTTCTGGGTAGTCCAGATAGAAATAATCCCTGTCTTTTATGTGCCATACACATCCTGGTGTAGTTCAGATGATGTGACAACTCTAAGCCTCTATGTTGCTCAAGGGTTAAATCTTGTCACTAAGAGAGTTGCAGAAGACCTGGTAAAAGCCAGCGTAAGCTCAGTTAGAACTTAATTCACTAGAAATTAAATGTTTTCCTAGCAAAGTCCACACAAGGCTGAAACTGAAGAAAATCATAGAGATGAAATTTGTCTCTAATGAACACAAAGTACTAATTTATTTGTTTTCATCCTGCATGGCTGGCAAAGGAGACACTGCTATATGGAACTATGGTTGAAATGGCATCACTATTCCCTGTCACCCACACAAGTCTAGCAATTCCCAATAATCGTGCTTCTCAAGCAGTCAGTGAGTCACTGCTGATCTGTTTTCTGCAAAGTAGACCTCTGTTTGGTTCCCATGGTGATCAGAAGTGACAGTTATTATGGGCTGCTACTAAAGATTAGCAGTTGTGTGTGCCCACTAAAAGCTCTTACCTGGTTATAGTCCCTGGGTGTTTTGCAGTGCATCATCATTGCTTCTTACTGACAGCAATTTAAACGCTTCTGGTGAATTGGCTTAGTGGAGAACAGGCTGAAGGAGGGGGATTTGGGGAGTATTTTTGTTTTGCAATGTATTTAGAACAAGATGAAGAAAATAACAACTCTGTAAACTTTCCATAGAGCAATGGTGGTCCAGTATTGCAGGAAATCTTTTGAGGCTGGGCTAAATGACTCAACCCTTGTTTTAAAGATGATCAAGCACAGAACTTAGGTTTATCATAATAGGAGTTATTTCATTTTATCTGATCTAACAATTTTTGCTGAAACTCAGGGGTTTTCAAACACAGAAGAACTTCCTAGACAGCAGAAATCTGTCACCCCTGTTGTGGAATCTTCTGTTTACTGGTCACTATTAAAATATGTATAGCTGAAGATAGGACTCACCTCATGAACCAGCTCGTTCTGTGAACTGCAGTGAAACTCTCATTAGCATAGCTGTACCGAGAAAAGTACCACAGGATGAAGCCTGGGTAAAAGTGAGCTTTGTGTGCCAGAAAGGAGAAAACACATAGGAGAACAGGAGAGTGGGGATTATTGTGCAGTGAAGAGAGATGTAGAAAGAGGTTAGGAACACAAAATTATTTTAAAAAAGTATCCACTGCGTTTCTCTGTGATTGTAAACTCTACAGCAAGAAGTAGACAGCTGCCAATTGTTTGAAGAGAAATGTGAGTTGGCTTATCAGGTCATTCCAACCCTCAGATGTCTGAGACTGCAAACCTTTAAGGAAATAGCTTGTCTCATTTTTATTTGCCTAAAGTCCATGTAATGAGCCCATGCACCTTAATGGTCCTTCTGGGTGTTACCAGGATATATAAATATCCCGCTGTATCTTTCAAAATTTCTTTTGCTGTTTCCTTTAGTTTATGTCTATAGGCAGTCTGTGAAAAAGACGTAAATACAAAGATGTAAAAACAATTAACAGGGTTAATATAAGAATAGATTACATTGCAGGAATGGATAACATGCAAAAAGGAAGCCAATGTTTAATCTGAAAAACAGTGTAGAGATAAAACCTAAACTTTGGTTTAGTTATGCCATGTATTTTAGATTTCTGATATAACCAATGAATCACTGTGCAAATTATTCATTTGGGTCACAGCACCTTATTGGTACTCTAGAATTATCTGTCCACTCACAGAATTTTGTTTCTGATGTTTGATTCCTATGTTACAGGAGATGGCAGTAATGTGAAATACTAAATTCCACACTTCACCTTTGTTGTCCTCTTCTTGTGTTGTCTGAATCTCAGTGTTGTCTGCAGGATGGCTTCATCTCCATAAAAACTGAGGTTGTGATTCAGAATGATAGTTAATTAGAAGCAAGTCATATTTGATAACAGTTTTGTGGGGGATACCAGACTGCTAGAAAATGCAAGACTTCATTGCAGTTAGGGAGGCATTCAAACTTTGGAGAGTCCACACCGTATCACTATCAAACTTGACTTGTCAGTATGCAAATATAAAACCACACACATAAATAAACAAAATCAGGGAGGTAACACACACTTTCGAGCTTATATCCAATACCATGTTTATGGTTATGTATTACTGGAGTCTGACTGTAACCTGGAGCCGTGAATATTTACCTTACCTACAGCTAGGTATGCATTCCCTGAAGGTTATTGCTCTGAGGAAGCCTTGGAAGGACTCCCACTACCTGGGTTGTTTGTAGGAGCCTCACATGCTTATGGGAAATCAACCAATAGACTTTCTCTAAAATTAAAAGATTTAATCAGATCATAATGTATAAATAATATCAACTTGATCAAACTCCAAGTATCTGGTTATTAAAACAATGTACTTCATATTTGAAGTCTCACATTAAATTAGCTGCCTGCTTCTTTTTCCTCTTCCAAATTGTGAGTTACCTAAATAAATAAATAAATAAATTATTTTGGCTTTACAAGGAACGGCTTCAGATCATCAGATAGAAACAAACCATTTCTGGCAGGGAATAAATTTCTAAGAGGGAAACTGTGCCAGCCAGGATATATGAAGGGCTTATAAATTCCAAATTATTTTAATAGGATGAATAATAGTTGAAGAATTTACATAGCACTGTTAAAGAGCATTTTTTAAAGACATCATTGCTTGTATAAGCATTGCTTCTTGAGAAACCCTAAACTTCCATTGGAAAGAACCCTGAAAATCACTACTTGAAAAATAAGTTTTGATTTATGATAATATTTTCTCAAGAGCAGCATTATATTTTTCTCCTTGAATTTCAAGAGGAAGCCAAATTCTCATTGGAGCCAGTGAGTAAACAGCCTACCTCTCCTTGCCTGCAAACAATCACAGATAATTCTCATTCAGAGGTACAAGAAAAAACATAACTGGTAGTAGTAATGTATGTGTTTATACACTTGAAATGAATCCAAATCTTCAACAAATTCATGTAGATTACACTAGATTTCATGCTCTTCCTTTCAAGTATTATCATTAAAACATGATACTTCTTTTTTTTTCTTGTTGGTTGAAATAATCCCCAGAAAAAATATTTCTTCCGTGTTTGTTGCAAGAATGTGTAATTCTTTATAATTTGCAGCACTTCTTGCATTACTTCTCATTTTTATCTAGAGTTCAACTTCTGGCATAAAAAACCTCTGCCACAGACTATGTTTTCCCAAAGGGCTATGCTCACACCTGTGCTCAGCTGAGCATTCCAAGTAGGTGCTGCTGGAGATTTTATCCTGGATGTTTCACTACTCAGCTGTCTTTCTCAACTTCAGTTGAAACAGGAACAATGTTGCCTGATTATACTGTAGGAGGAGAATTCACTGCATGTATGACTGTGTCATCTTGAGATTTGCACTGGCACAGTTTGAGGAGTCTTCATTATCCATGAGGATATTGAAACCTCATCTTGGCTCCTGCATTACACCTACTTGACATGGTTTAGCCCCAGCCAGCAATTAAAGCCCACACAGCCACTCTCTCACTCCTCCCAGGTGGGATGGGAGAGAAAACTGGAAAAGTGAGATAACTCATGGGTTGAGATAAAGCAAAAGCTTCACACACAACAAACAAGCAAATAAGGAATTCATTTACCACTTCCCATGGGCAGGCAGGTGTTCAGCAATCTTGAGGAAAGCAGGGCTCTGGCATGCCCAACAATGACTTGGGAAGACAAACACCATCACTCTGAAAGTCCTCCCCTTCATTCTTCTTCCCCCAGCTTTATATGCAGGTATGGAATGTCCCTTGGATCACTGGGGGTCAGCTGTCCTGGCTGTCCCCATCCAGCTTCTTGTGAGCCCTCAGTCCATTTGCTGGTGGGACGGTGAGAGGCAGAGATGGCCTTGATTCTGCTCAGCAATAATGAAAACATCCCTGAATTACTAACACTATTTCCATCAAAAATCTACAAAACCACAGCCATATCTGAGCTACTCTGATGAAAATAAATTCTTAACCCAGCCAACAGCAGCAAGCTCCTTTAAATTTTGTATTACAAATTTGGAAGACACAAAATGGTGGGAAAGTGTCTCCATTACATTTCAGTTTGTGCAGTGATGTGCAGAACAAGAGCAAGCATTACTGGTGAATTAGTTGGATAAACGACTTGGCCACACTTCAGTCTCTTTGGAGTGCCTTGAAATGATGACAAAAGGAGCGATATAAAGAATCAGTATCACAAATACCTGTATTAAACATTGCAAATGCTAGCAGTATCTGGTGTTCTGTTCTGTGAAAATTTCACCTCCATGCCCCTCTAGATAGGAAAAGAAATTACTCCTGGTAGTTTTTACCCTAAAAATTAATTCCTCAGAGTGACTGATCAGTATTCTTGCCTAGGTCATGGGGTCTGGCTGATGTACACAGGGTGTAGCTCTTCATAATCTGGAACCCCTGCTCTGCAGCACGCTAGTTGTGTCACACGGTTCTGT